CACACTTGGGGAAAAATTACTCATTCTTCCTTTATAAAGATGTGATGAAACTTCCGGCATACATCTGTTACTAGCATGGAATTCATAGTAAAACATTACATTAGACAAACCAGAATGGGCTATGTCGTCTATGTGTTCAGTAATTCACACTCAAATCAAGAAAGTATTCCTTTCACTATGTAGTTACATTAACTTTCAGTAATAGCTATCTTGACCTAAAATTCCTGGTGTGTTCTTTGATAGTAATAAATTGTACAGTTTGCTTCAGTTATAATTCAGAAAGACTTATCTGAGCAATCTGTATTTATCTCTTACTTTGGAGCAATGTGGCTTTTAATTTCCAGATCTGAGCTTTGTTGTTCAGATGGTCTAAATGTCTGGAATAATTGGTCATTTGATTACCCATTATGTTAGTGTAAGTCTGAAATCAGCTTTAATAAGTAGTTTTTTCAAGTTGCTGGCTAGATAATAAAGTGAAGAGTAGCATCATGACTGTTTGTGGAATTTGTTATATTTTTGGTTGGAGTTCATGAAGCCATGTATTTTTATGACCAAACTGCCCTCAGAATTATGGACAGTAATTCTGACTTGTAGCGCTTTCCTCATTTATGTTAGAACATATGGTTATCCATTTCTCTATGTAGACAGTTTATCTGTTATTCTGACATTGTGATTGGATTAGGACACCTGAGTACTAACCTCAGTTTTTTAGAACGCTTCTGCATTTTAGTGATAATTGTCTGAGCACATCATTGCTCTGACTGTTTTTAAATCTTGAGATAGACTTCATGTTGTTAAGGTAAATCTTTTATAGCTTTGGCTGAATTTCTTATAAGAGCTCTTGGTCTTGACAGCTGAGATGTGTTAGCCGATCTCTCTTAATGGTACTTAGATTTGAATTTTGCAGGCTGGGAGGCAGAACTACTTGGAACTGGTCTTTTCAACGCATGATGGCTTTAAATGCAGACTTTAAAAAATGGGCCACCTTGTAAAAAGAAAGTCTTAGTCTCTAGAGTTCATTCCCTTTCTTAGTTTGAACCAGTCCAAGTTTATAACTCAATGGAGTTAAAAAGTTGGACTTTTAAAAATTTTTAAACTCTCCATAGGGCCTGGTAATTTGAGGTGGAGGAAACTAATATGAACTTCTCATTTTCATTTCAGTTTAAATTCTGAGATTCTTTGATTCTCTGGAGCCAAAAGCATTTCAAGGGTTTTCATGAGGAGGTTATGACTGGAGGGGAAGAGTGCTGCCTCTTGGTTCTGAGTGACAACCCCTGCCCTCTGCCCCTAGCTGAGAACTCAAAGAATTGTTACATAGCACTAAAATGAGCTGAGTCCAAAACTTCAGCCATATGGTCAATATAGGGCTTTTAAAGGAAGGGAAATAGTAAAAGAGTAATTTCAGAGGAACTCTCTTATGTTAAAGAACTGAGAAAATGAAGTCTTTCTGAAGCTAAGTGTAAATTATACCACCTTCTTTGGTAGCAAAAGCTGCTAAATGTAACAGAAGAAAATGACAGTGTAGGAAATCAAAGTTCAGGAACAGGCTTTCAAGTGTGGTTTTCTTATGCTTAATCCTTTACTCCCCTCTCAGGATCCATTCCCTCCTTTTCCTCCTCCTTCTCCAAAGTCTGCTTGAAAGAGATTTTGATGGGTAATGGCAAAGGAAGGCACCTTTAGACGTAGTATAAATTAGGGCATAAGATGCCCTTTATACAGGAATTATCTTAGACATGCTTTTGAAAACATACTTTTTTTTTTAGCCTTATTTAAGAAAATAATCAAAGGTATGATTTTTAAATCTTTGAGTTTAGTCTGCTTTCAGTAAAAATAAGGTATAGGTACCAAAATAAGCAAACCTCTTTTTTTTCTTTCCTGGTTTCTGCTTGTAAGATTTACAGGTATTTAAAATAAACCCATGAAAAACAGAAATACTGTCCTGGGATTGGCTAAATAGTCAGAGCAATTACCTCCAGGCTCCAAAATCCAACTGAGCTTGACTTTTGGAAATAAATTTGGCTAAGACTTCTTCCTTATTCTGTTGTATAAAGGTGTACATGAAATGATACTGACCTCTGCCAGAAACCCCAGGAATCCTATTCAGTGATGTACTTGTAATGGTCATGAAAGAATTAAGTCAACACAGATGTGGATTAATGTGAAAAAGTAGGCAAAACACTAAATTCTCATTGTGTGGTTTCAGTGTTGCAGATCCTTCAAAATACTTTGGTATACCACAATAATTAAAGGGTTTAAGAACGTTAAGATACTTAGAAAATAAAAGCCCACAGTTGAATAACAAGAATGACCTGTTTTATTTTTTAAAATTGAAATTAATGTAGATTGCCATGGTGAAAATAGGTTGAAATATTTAATAATTGTTTTGTGCAGCCCTAGAGATCAAAAACAGTAATGTAAATAAGCAGGTCTTTAAAGAATCATACTTACAAATATGTTTAATGTAAGTGATTGCTAGAAGGGAAATGCATTTTTTTCAATGCTATGCAAAGAAATTTTAATGGACTTGATGTTGGCAGTGAGAATCTACAAATTAGCATTAATAACTCAAATTTTAAAATATTTGCTCATTGCTCTAGATTATGACTGTATTCAAGAAATACTGTTTTCAAACACTAATTAATCATTTTAAATAAACTTTTCAAAACACATTTATGATATCAATAAGTATGACTGTTTATTACATTTTACCTATAAAAAGTTGAACTGTTTTATATACTCTTTATGGAAACAGTGCACAGTCATAAATTAAAAGATGCAACTGTTTTGGATATTTTACTGGTGGTCCTGTGTTTTCCTGCCAGCAGTGCAGCTGTTTCAGGTTTCTCAGGATAACATATAAAAAGCTGTATGTACACTGCAAGTTTATGCTTGAATTGCCAAGCCAGAGATGGTATGACTCAACTTTCCCAGAAGCAAGTTATACCAAAATGTGATGAATTAAAACAGCTAGTTGCACAGTGGTTTGTATTCAGTTATGAAAATCAGTTCTCATTTATGATAGTTGGCTTTGTAAGGTTGACACATTCTACTGTGGTACTTGAATTCTGCCATGAGTAAAGAGCCATTGGAGCTAAGACTGTGCTTTTGAGGGTCTGAGGAAAGAGAAAAGGGTGATACAACACTATCTGGGGTGTGGATAAAACTTAGCTGGAAACTTGTGTCAGGAATGGAACATTTTCATTTTCAAGATACCTGTAAAAATATTACTCACTTATTTGTGTGATAGTTACTGAATTCTCAATGAAGAGAAATTGATTTTATGCTGTTCCAGGTTAATTTTTAGACTTTCTGAGGTGATTTAACACTTACCTCATTTCTCATGCATCATAGTCTTAACAGTGGACATTTTATTTTATCATGGGAGGTAATAAGCAGATACCTTTGTGGCCATGTATTAGGTTTGGTGAATTCCTATTTAAATTCTGTGACACCCAAGGTTTTATTAAGAGTTTGACAACAACTGTTTAATAACAGTAGTCTCCAAAGTGAGATGCATCCCACCAGGATATGTAAGATGGGATGTAGGGAGAAAATATTAGAACTTTTATTTAAACATTTTAGTTTCATCCTTTAAATGTTTCAAATTATATATTATATATATTTTATAATATACTTACTATATTATTATGTGTATATACTATATAATAGTATATAATATATAAATACTTTATGTAATTTATGAACAAGTATACAAGTTTTGGAGCTGCACATTCAAATATTTTTACTGCTATAAAAATACTATCAAAAAAGTTTGTAGATTGTTGCTCAATAAATATTCATTTCCTTTCTCCTTTCACTTTCCCCTTTCACCCTTGGCAGAGAATCAAAGAATTAACACCTTGATTTGTGGCAGTGTGAATAAATTATAGCCAATTGCAGGAGCTTATGCTGTGTCTTACTTTGACCACTTTTTCTATTTGGCCTCTTGTATTGCCATATATTTTTTAATCACACAAGCTTTTTAAACATGGATACAAATGAAAAACAGACTTGTTATTATGTTAGAAATAATAAGTTGCTCATGCATCAAGACTTTGACACACAGGAAACCTGAATGAATGAATAGAAAAGTTTCCAAGTTATTAAAATGTTCTGGTACCTGATTTATTCATTTGCTATACATGTAATTCTTAGGTGGATGAAGCTCCTTTACTTCCTGAGGCCTGAAGAAACAATGTGGTTTCTTAAACTAGGCATTAAAGCAAAGCTGGAAATACTTGTTTCCTGACAGTGCTGGTAGTCATGCTAAGAAGTTGTCCCTCTTTGGCCAGGATTGTCCCATTTTTTAGGGCTGTTTGTGTACCTTTATCAAGGTAGAAAGTTTTAATTGCTAAGTAACGTGTGTAATTGAAGAATAATAGTGTCTGTTACAGTCTTTTGAGATTGACTCAAAAGACTCTTCTGTATTTACTAATTGGGACTAATTCTTTTGAACCCAGGCTCAGTTTTAGAGATTGCTTGGATGTAATTTTCTAAGGTTTCCTTTCCTGTAAGGAGGGAGACAATATATTTTTGTAATATTGAAGTAATTTTGAAGTAACTAGTATGTTCTCTCCCCTTTATCACTTGTTTACGTATTTTCTTCAGAACATATTTATGTAAAATTTTAGTAATACAATAGTATTATGATGTGCATTTATTTATTAAGAGTATGCCGGGAAGGAGAGCGGCAGTTAGGTACCCACACAAGAGCGAGCAAAATAAATTAGTTCTGAAAATTGGGCATAGGGAACATTTTAAAAACAAGTATTATTTCTGAAACCTCCTTCAGAGCTGTTTATAGATCTTAATGTAATTCACTTTATAATTTAGAGTTGGTATGTTTCCTTTTAAAAGGAAATAATGCATTTATAAAGTCTGAACATCTCAGCCTTAGAATTCTTCTTTAACATTTGAATCAGTTTTACTATTGCTTTTTAAAGTGTTACCAATTTATATGTGCTTTCTATATCAATGGTACACTTTTTGTTTTGTTTTAGGTATTTAAACCATGTCAGAGCTGCCTCTCCACAGGACCTTGCTGGAGGCTATACTTCTTCTCTGGCTTGTCTCAGAGCACTACAGGATGCATTCAGTGGGCTCTTCTGGCAGCCCAGTTAACCTTTATTTCTCCTCTGTAAGATCTGGACCCTGGAGCCGAACCAGGGAGCTAGCAAAAGTAAAGCAGACTTGTAAAATTATAGCCATGTGCAGCTGTACAGCAACAGTATTACCACTAGCAGCTGTGTTAAAGTATTTATAGAGAGCAAATTTCAGAACTAAGCTGAGTAATATAGTGGATAAATATTTGTGAAAAAGATTTATTTTTTACTTATATTTTTCTGAGAGGGATTGAAGCTGTAAGACTCATCTAATGGAAGCTATGAATAATTCACCTGTGTATGTTTGAGGTTGATAGACTTGTAAAATCTTTTAAAAAATAAAGCTAGACTTTATACTGTTTTGTGGTTTTTCTCTTATTACAGTGTTTTACTTGAACACACATTAAAAATGCCATTTTGAATACGACACTGAGTGTTAATATCCAAGTCTGTTATTTCTTCTCATAAAATGTTCCATTTTTTCCCCAATGTCTTCTTAATACTAGTCCAGACAAGTGGATATATTTCCTTCTACCAACAGGTTGCAGCAAGTAAAACTTGACCTGTGATAATGTCACTCTCTCAACATTAAGGACTCAGTGCCTGTTTTGAGCAGTGGAAAGTGAGACGAACCTTGATCAATGTGTTATAGTTCCCAGCTGTGAGCCTCGCTTAGGCTAAACCAGAGTACTAACCTGCTTTAATGACAAATTCAAAGAAGTAAGTTAATAAAATTTAATACTTAAAAGGCACCTTTAACCTCAATGTGAGCTCATTTTATGGTGAAACCTTGGAGACTGGAATGAATATATTTTAAATGAAATTTCCCTATGAATAAATTGCACACTCTGGTACAGTTTCTGTTGAAACTTCAAAGGCTTTTAGTATACCCAGAATGTTGCTTAAAGAGTTTGGATGTGGATAGGATATATATTTGTAGCATCTCAACCTTGTATGAGTCTGTTACCTAGACAACTGGGTATGGGACATCGTTTCTCAAGGAAATTAAAGGATTTTCTATTAAATCTCCATTACAACAGTTGTTAGAGTGGAAAGTTATGTGAAACAAGATTTGTGGGTTATATTAGGGTGGAATATCCATATGTAACAGCTCCATCTTATTTGACTAAGTAGGTATTAATTTCAGGAGTACATCTTTATAACACGTCTAACTATCTTTGATAATTGAGAAAACCAAGGCATTGAATAATTGAGTAGGCCAAGATCATATACACAAGTTAGTAAAAGCCAAAATTAGAACAAAAGTTTTTTATCCAAGTCTAATTCTATCTATAACTTTACTAGTCTGCATCCTATTTCTCATATCTATTAGTTTTCCCCAATAGAGGACTAGCATTTTAAGTACAATACATAAATCTGTTCAAAGAATAGTGAGAACGTTGGACTTGTGGTTAGGGATTTTCTGTACTCAGCTGCCAAAGTAAGGTATCCAGTCTTTAAAAAAGAAACACTATTATTTATTCTCAGTACCTTGTATGATGTATTTAAATGGAAGGAACTAATTATTAACAAAACATTTCAAAGTCTTGCAAAACTTTTTTTTGAGCCTACCTTATTATTGTGGAAATTGCCTGCACCTGATTTAGCAAATCAGTTAAATTCCACCACCTAGATATGTTTGTAATTATTTTGCCCTTACTATGGCCATACTTTGTTCAATAGGCTGGGTTTAGAAGTTAACTGACCCTATTAGATCAAAGGGAATGGTGAAAGATAACCTAATGGCAACAATTCACTAAATAACAAATACTCTACATTGATGAAATTATCCCCAATCCTCCCAGTGATTTCCTCTCTCAGAGACAAAAGGCTGTACAAGTCTTTTCATCTACATGAATTTAAGTCTTTTAATATTTTATAACACTAGCACAGAAACAACTACTGGGCATTAACCTATATGCCAAGCACTGTGCTTCATGCTTTATGAATTGTCTAATCCTTCTAACAGTGCTAATATTATTTCCCCATTTTAACAGGTGGAGATGCTAAGGCATGGAGAGGTCAGCAACCTACCAAAGGTCAATACATCTTAAAAGGAGAAGAGTTTGGATTTGAACCCAAGTGGTTAAACTGCAGAGTCCATGTTCTAGAGATAACTGTCAAGCTGTCAAACTTATAAACAACAGCTGTGCAGAACCAAATCTGAGTAGTCAAACTTCTTAAGACTTCCAGGAAATTTTACAGATCAAGTATCTAGTTCTTATATGGGATATGTGACATCAACTAAACAACAGTGTTGATATCCTTGAGAGAAGTCCTGAGGAATTCATTATGTAGAACATGATTTCACTGCTAACTGCACTCCCTTTTAAGCAGATATTAATGGACTGAATACATTTACTTGGTAATTAGGATGCATTACTATTTAGTATTCCTTAATTTCTTTCAATAAATATTTGATTTAAGCTTCTCTTAGAAGTTACCTTTAGGCTGTCAGCAGGTGGTTTGGAATAATCATTTCAAAATCTAATTAAGGTGGCAGAAAACTTGTCAAAAAGTTAACGAAATTAAAAAATTCTACCTAGTGAGTGTTCTGTCATCTTCTAGTGGATTAACCAAGAGTTCAGTTACTAGGTATCACATCAAAAAGTTTAGGGTGAGCCAAATTTAAATAATGAAATAATCACATGTTCACGTATCCACTCTGAGGGAAAAAGGAGGAGAGGTTAAAGTGTGTTAATAGAAGCATTTAAAGAATTCTGTTTTCTTTTTTTTCTTTCTTTTTTTTTTTTTTGGCGGTACGCGGGCCTCTCACTGCTGTGGCCTCTCTCGTTGCGGAGCACAGGCTCCGGACGCGCAGGCTCAGCGGCCACGGCTCACGGGCCCAGCCGCTCCGCGGCATGTGGGATCTTCCCGGACCGGGGCACGAACCCGTGTCCCCTGCATCGGCAGGCGGACTCCCAACCACTGCGCCACAAGGGAAGCCCCAGGAATTCTGTTTTCTTCACAATTATATACTGCATATTTTTTCTAATTAAGGGGTGACTAAATGGATCTTACCACTTTACATATGAATAAGAACATCATTTGCACCCACACTTAATATTTATAGCCTAGCACATGGATGTATCAATACAGTACTAGGAAAAAAGTTCTTATGCCTACTTGCAAATTAATTATCTTCACCTAGATCGGGAGAAGGCAAACTGTAGACCCCTGGTGAAATCCGGGGGCTTCCTTTTTTTGTATGCTCCCTGAGTTAAGGTTGGTGTCTGTATATTTTTAAGGTTGGAAAAAGCCAAAGGAATAATATACTTTTTAACATGTGAAAAGCATATAAAATTAAAATTTCAGTGTTCATAGTTTTGTTTTTTTTTTGTAATATGTGTTTCTGTATTGTCTATGGCTGCTTTTGGACTACTGTGGCAGAGTTGAGAGGCAGCAGAGACCTTATAGCTTAGAAAGCCTAAAATATTAAATGGCCCTTTACAGAAAGTTTGCTGACCCTTGACCTACCTACACTTGGAGGGGAGGGGGAGGAAGAAAATTAGAAGTCCCAAACTAGCAATCCCTGGCTGAATTAGCCCTCAAGGTTTTGCATAGGGTAGGTTGGGTTGAACTCCAAAACCATTTTAAGTGTCTTTCGATAAGGAATAAAAGCTCCAATTCATTACTTCCCTATACTTCTTACCATTTATTGCCGTCATCTATTTATATTACCTAGCTTCTGAAGGCATTTGAGTTTGTAATTAATGACTTAGATTAGGGGTCCTCAAACTTTTTCTGTAGGACCAGAGAGTAAATATTTTAGGCTTTGTGGGCCAAGAGACAAAACTGAGGCCATTATGTAGATACAAGAGATACAATAAATTGGCACAATTTTTTAAATTAACAGACTTCAAAATATAATTGAGTACATTTTTTGTAGGGCTTTTTGGAGAATTACATTTCCTTTGATTGGGGTTCTAAGTGTTCCTATCATCAAAATGAATTTTAATTGATCACATGTTGATGGTTATATGTAATGAGATTTTACACATTTCATCTTTAAAAAAGTCTTTTCAGACAGATACTGCCAAATTCTAAAACATGTGATTTTAACTGAACATATACATCACTTGGAAGGCATCTGTAAAACTATGAGATTCTTAATCCCTTGGTATTTGCCTTTTAGCATGTCATTACAATAACACATTAATCACTTCCAATTGAAGATCAGATGGAAGTTCAATTGTAGTTAAATGGATTTTGAAATATGGAAATTTCCTTTGCATTTGCACCAAAGTTCCAAGAATGCTGAACTCAGAAAATATATCCACTGCTAATTTATGAGAGAATGAAAATCTTGTTTCTTGTTTTAATTTTTGATAGCATGAGAAATGTACAGTTGTAGTCATTTCAGACTACTGCAGTATGTTTCACATTAAAGTTATGTTTGCCTTGTAATTGTAGGTTGATATCTTTGAGAAATATTATCAAGTCTTTAGCAAAAACTAATTTCCAAGGACACTCAGTATTTTAGAAGTGTTTAAGGTTGGTTCTTCTTAAGAAAAATTTCAGTCTTGTCCATGACCCCCCAAAATTGCAGTCATACCTTACAATTGCTAAGCAAATAAAACTTAGATTAAGCTGAAGAAATTCAGCTTCAATTTCTGACAAAATTCAAGGACTCTGAGGATGGTTAAGGTCCATGAAAGCAAATGAAGTTTATCACCGACGTTACTGGTTCACTGACACATGATAGATTCAAATATTTGTTGCAGCGTACTTGCTGGTGAATAATATAGTGAATAACTATAGGTTTTAAACACCGTGCATTTTCATAAGCTTTGTAAATTTTTCCAACTGCAGCTTTTTCTACCTCACACTTTTCTTTTTAACCATCATCAGTTATAACACATCAGATTCTACTTCAGGTTTTACAGAATTAGTTTTCTCAGTTTCTTTGAAAGTATTCACCAGTAGTTGTTCCGTGCAGAGTATTCATAGAGGCTAATTCTTCAGTAACTTCAAAGTCAGAATTGACGCCTCAAAAACAAGAACTGAGCAGTATTAGTAATGTCTATCAACTCATCAAGAGTACTTGGACTCATTACCTTTTTGACTATTGACAGTGCTCCCAATGTTCTCAACTCTGAGCAACTGTCCTTGCCAAAAGGCCAACAGTCCTAGACAAGTTTGCTTTCTCCAGACACATTTCTTAGACTGCTGCTTTCAAACACAACTAACTCACCGACAGTAAATGGTTTTCCTTGCTTGGCTTAACAAGAGTCACTTGGAGACTTACTTTGGTTGTAGCCTCACTTTAATTTTGTGAAGAAATTCTGCCATGAATTTCCAGCTTAAATATCTAATTTTTCTGACAGTTGCTTGCCTGTGAGTTGGAAATACTGTG